AAGTCAGTGAATTTGCTCTAAACTTTTTACACCAACGTATCCAAGAGCTGAAGTTGACTTTAAATGACGTTTTTAGCTGCCATTATATCATTTTGTTATGTTGACGATTTATGTTAATGAATGGAAACTTAGGCCCCAATCCTGTGATCTGATTTGATCCTTATGGTTGGTCTTCATTCACACCTGTACAGAATCCCACTGAAGTCAATGGGCGCAAGAGTCCACCCACATGGATCCAATTGCAGGACTGGGGCCTTAATTCACAGAGTCCAAGGCCAGAGGGGACATGTGATCATTTAGTCTGTTGTCTTGTATAACAGGCCGTAGAATTTCCCCAACATAATTCCTAGAGTATCTTTTAGAAAAAAATAATCCAGTCTTGATTTTAAAATTCAGTGATGAAGAATCTACCACGACCCTTGGTAATAATGTATTTCCAGTCCTACAACTAAGGGTAGGCCTGATCCTCCAAATGCTTGTGGCTAGCCGTGAGCTTTGTAAGGTGGGTCATCCAAATGCCCAAACCTGCAGACAGTTATGCATAAGTTTTACTTCATTAAATGAGTCATCCCAATGAAGCAGTCACTCATATGTTTAAAATTACACCTGTGCTCAAATCTTTTCAGGATCAGGGTCTAATGCTGAAATTAAAATTAACTTGTCTCATAAGTTGTTGTTAAAATCTTATGACCAAATAAATCTGTTAGTCTTTAAGGTGCCACTGGACTCCTCATTGTTTTTTGCGGATACAGACTAACACGGCTACCCCCTGATACTTGTTAAAATCATGAAGTCACAGTATTGACTTCATATAGCAGTTAAAAGTGGAAGACAGATTCCAATATAAGGATGACTTTAACCTTCCCACTTCCTTTTCCTGAAAACCCCTCTCCTTTTAGCTCGAAATAATTTGTTAGTCCAAAGCTACAAGATAATTTTCCTTAGAAACGTTAAACAAAATTCAACAAGCGATTTTAAATTGAAGACAGAAAACACAACCACCACCATTAATTAATATGAAATTTGCCAGGTGGTGTTGCTAAAAGGCTTTAGTTAGGAGCAGGGGCCTCGTTGTCTTAGGTACTGAACACGTATAGACCAGACAATATTTTTCACTTTTCAAAAATTACTTCCACTATTTTTGTCCACTCATAATTTCAGAACAATTAGTTCTCTGAAGTTCACAGTAGTGATCTGAATTAGGTCTCTGTGAAAAGCCATACATAAGGATGCACTTTTGTGAGCAGAAGGATGCAATTTTTGAATTGACTTAGAATTAATAGTGGTTACGACAGGAAGAAATTTAATTCTCCTGTAGTGATTATAAACTCTGTGAGTGGCTTTAAGAGTGTCACAAGCTTCATTTGAAACAAGAAGTTAATTTCCAACCCTTTCCCTAGAAAACATAGTTTGAAAGTATAGAGTGAGTTTGGTTTAAAGATGCTTCTGTTTACAAAAAGTTACAAAAGATCACCGCTCAAAATCAAGACACTGAGTCAATGTAATAGCACTGTCACTTCTGTGTAAATTCGGATGTAACCTCAGTGGAATGTCTTTGTATTTAGCGTACACCTGGGTAACAGAATAGACTCTGGCTCACTATCTTCATTTCACAATATAATTCTCGGGAAAATAGGAAACCACTAAAGTATTTTGGCTGGGATTTTCAAAGAAGCCTAAGGGGTTTCAGCCACCATTGAAACTCCCCTAGCCTACTTTGAAAGCACTTTGGAACTCCCCGGGGGGAGGGAGGGGAAACGGTGGGTGTTTAGCACCCATTGGCAGCCCCACTGTCAGCGCCTCCCGCTCCTCCCCAGCACCTCCCGCCCATCAGTGGCCCAGCTGATCAGCGCCTCCCCCTCTCCTCCCAGTGCCTCCCGCCCACTGCGATCAGGGGTGGGAGGGCAGGGCAGAGAGGGGGCGGAACGGCAGGTAGGGGTGGGGCCTTGGGGAAAGGGGTGGGGGTGGGGCCTGGGGTGGAGTTCCACCCCCCCCCCCCAACACATTAGAAACTCGGTGTCTATGATTTGCATGCCTCATGTCTCCGTTTTCCTCTATGGGCTTGGCTCCCTGCTTGGAATACAACTCCCGTGATTCATCATGGTCTCCCCTCTTGGCGGGGCGCAGTCCATTTACAGCACTTTTGTGTTAATTTTCATGGACTAAATGGGCCCAAAGGATCAAAGGTGTTAATGTGATCCTGTCACTGTCTGACATTAAACACTGGTAAACAAGGTCCAGGGTTTGACATACAAGTACCTCAGCTTGGTTAGTCTCATGGCAAATACACCATTAAAAATCATTTTAATCTTTTTCTTTCTTTCTTTTTCTGTGTCTTTAATAAAGCAGTTGAAGCATTTGAAATCTAAAATATTAAGTGAGGCTTTCATTTTAACAACATTCCTTATTTCCTTTCCCTTTAGCTGGAGAAAAGCCCCCTATCTGACAGTCTTTAGATAGTATTAATGATGATAATAACTGTTCTTTTGAGGGAAAAGAAAAAAGGTTAGTTGAGATGGGCTGGAGCTATTGCTACTGTTGTTTAAAGTCTAATCCTGTTCCTCTAAAAGAGAAAACAAGACAAACAAAAGGTGAGGGAAAAGAAACAGCAAAGATAGAAAATACAACTTCTGTTTTTGGTGTTAACTCTCAGTTGTAACCTTGTTTCTGCAGAAACACAAGCATGGCACATAATCATATCAGCTGCTCAGAGTCCTGGTGAACTTGTAGCAGAATAGGACTATTATGGCTGGTTGTCTTTTTCTGGTCACAGGCTTACAGCAGTGTTGCAAAATGTACAGTCTTGGCTGCCTAAGCCAGACTCTTCTTACACAGAAGGTAAAAGGAAACGGATAGGAAAGAGAAGAAATAAGGTAGAGGAAAAAAAGAACAAACAAGGGGGAGTGGGGGTGACAGTCTCACATGCCAGGCAGTGTTTGGAATTTAGCCAGAGCAGGTGGAAGTAGCAATGTCCTCTGGGCTCCTCTCTCTGGGCCAGGCTGGTCAGGACATCTTTCAAGATCAGGATGACGAAAGCCCAATGGTGTAGCAGTGGGTCCCAGGACATGGTAGTGGCGGCAGCCCTGACGGGAACACTTGTCTTAGCAGATGTTGGCAGACAGCTTCTTCTTGGCTTTTTCTTGATCCCTCCCGCCCCCCAAAAAAGTCTTTTTTTTTAAGGACCCCCGTAAAGGATTGATGGGTGGAATAGCCGTCCCCTCATTATTTTATTCACAAATTAACTCTGCGTGTTAGCAGTACATTGCTGCTGATGTCGCAGTTCTCATCTATGGCTCTACATATGACGGAAGTCCAAATCCTGATGCAGAATCAGCCACACTGAGAGCATGCAAAGTTCATATCTATGTTGTTTGATGATGCAGCTCTCTGGCACCTTTCATGTGCAACCTTTACCATGCATGATCTTAACACAGGTCTTAATTTATAGCAGTAGGCCTTTTTGTTTAGATTAGTTCAGTCTTTCTGTCTCCCTTTTGCACCTTTTCCTATCAACATTTATTATTATAGGTTATTGTGACATTTAATTAACTTTCACACACTTCTCACAATTAGGGTAAATTTGTAGGCCCAGTTATCACAACAGCACTCACATGGCCATCGTGCATCACAAAAGATGAAGTTTGGCTGGGGAGCCTGGTCCATCAGGGCTGCACAGAAGTTTCTGGGGGCCTGGGGCAATATTTGAAACTGTGACTCCCCTCCTTTCTGTGTTTCATCCAATAATCATATTGTTCCATGGGTTTGGGGACACACTTAAACACGATGCCTGGGGCAAACTTCCATTTTTGGCACCCTCTCTGTGTGGCCCTGCAGCCCATAGAGGAGAATGGGGGAATAAGGCACCCAAACTTCACTTCTATGAGACACCACAGTGGGTGGCATTTCAGAATCAAAATACCAAAAAAAAAAAAAAAAAATCAATTTTCTGCAGAAAGCAAACGCTTTTTTAGCAAAAAAAATTTAGTCCTGAACCCAGTTTTCTATCAAAAAAATAGTTTCGATGGAAAATTTCTCAACCAGATCATTTACAAACTAAGGCCCCAGTCTGCTAACACTTACACACATACTTTACTTTTCTCATATAAGTGGTCCTTTTGAAGTCAATGGGACTACTTACGTGTTTAAAGTTAAGTGCAGGCACAAGTATTGTCACCTTGTCACTAAGGTGTGCTTAGTAATAGTAGACATTTGAGCCTGGTTTGTTTTCACAATGGAGAAGAATTCAGTGACATGGAGGCTGGGTATTTTCTTAGTGGAATTTGTTTATTTACCCTGTGTACACCGGTCCTGGAACAGAGGTGGTCACAGATGGCATGCAAACAAACCCCTCTTTCAGGAATCTCAGCCAAAACACCATGCCTGGTTCCCAGGAAGCAACTCTGCCCCAAGTTTCAGAGGAACAGCCGTGTTAGTCTGTATTCGCAAAAAGAAAAGGAGTACTTGTGGCACCTTAGAGACTAACCAATTTATTTGAGCATGAGCTTTCGTGAGCTACAGCTCACTTCATCAGTTGTGACTCTAGTTAGAGAAATTAAGACAGAGAGCAAACTCCCCTACTGGTGCAACAGCTCCCCCACAAAGAACCTATACCACAAAATGAACAATAGTATAACATTTCTTCAAAGTGTTCACACATTGAGAAAAGGAATATGTATGACTGTGTGTAACAGCACCACCTGGTGACTCCTGACATAACAGTATTTATAGGATTTTGGTTTAAATAGGGTCAAAACACAATAGGTGTATTTTGAACATGAAGGGAAAGATAGAGGAGAGGGAGGACAAGGGGGATGGTCACAAGGACACAAGGTGATATGTATTAGCTAGGTTAACAATTTGGAGGCTTCGTAGTTGTTGGTTTTAAATGAAGTAAGCTTTATTAATGAATCATTAACAGGCCACTTGCCTAGCTGTTATTACTAGGCAGTTTACCATGGGTATCAGGTTACAGGGGGAACGTAAGAAAGGATCTGAAGCAGGGCAGAGCAGTGGCTGTGTAGAATGATTTCAGGGGGGCCATCCATGCATAAGGAACAGCGTGGGGAAAAGGTGTGGAGTTGCTTCTGGGAGAAATGTGTGAAAGACGCTGCCATTGGCAAAGCTGCCCCTAATGTTATACGAAGAGGAGTGGAATTCCCAGGTAAGGAGACTGGGACAGGCTCCAGAGAAGAACAAGTTTCATTGTTATTTCTCACACTGGGACTGATGGTGTTTCGCCAAACATTGTCTCTTACAGGTTCCCCTCCATGTCCCTGGTGGCATCGCATCGCTGTAGGGGTCGGATGGACTGGGAACATCGTCCTGACAATAGCTGTGATAGCACTGGGGGTTTGGGGTAAGTAGAGCCAATCTATTTATCCATTTGGGCTTCATGGTGCTCCATGAATTCACTTCTCATTCCCAAATCTGAATGATATTCCATTCCTGATTCCTGTCCTTTTGCGAATGAAATCCTAGGCATTACATCACCACCCAGGTCAAAATGTTACAGGAACAATGTGCAGTTAAGAGCTGGATGCATGAACATCATATGATCCAGCTAAAACAGGTTCACTGTTACGTGTGGATGGGAAGACAGAAATGCACCTATACTCTGAAGTGAATGGGATTCCCTCTTCCTCTGTCCCTACCCTAGCTGTGATGGATACTACATTGTTTGATTTTACACCTGCCATGATTGTTTTTTTAATTCCTAAATAGCTGCAATAGAAGTGATTTTTTATTGACGCTGATGCTGTTTTGAAGTTTCCCACTTGCATGTCTCTTGTGAAGGAAAGACCAGAGCAACTCTGAATACATTGGAGAATAATGAAACCAGAATCAACAGCAGCACTGCATGCTCCTGCCCAGAGGATTTCCGGTCTCACCTGAAACCAATTCTATGTGAACCCCACAATGACAGCTTGGCAGGTAACCACAGCTCCTACTGTCCCAGAGCCATGAGTCACTCTCCCTTAAAGAGTTTGCAGCACTCTGGCTGTGACTGAAAATCCAGGCACCATGTTAAAGGGACACTGTCAGCTTTACTGAAGCCCCTTTATATACAATACTCCAGTGTTGCGATCCCCAAGCATTCAAAAACCATGAGTCAGGCCCTAAAAATCATGAGATTGGCTTATTTTAGAAAAATTATACATTTTGGGTTCTTTATGTTTGCCTTCTGGTTTCTGAGCCTTTAGGTTGCACTTGGGTCCTGCTGTCAGGCTTTTCTCAGAATTATGAGGACTAGAAACCTTCTGTAATGAAACTGAGATTCTCACATAATCCCCTGACTCCAGGAGCTAGGGTGTAAAAGAAAACACCAAACTTCACAAGACGTCTGATAAAAATATGAGAGATGGCAACATTGCCAAAGTGACAGTGTAAAGGGAGCTAACCATGGGAGTAAACTTTTTCTTTTTTAATCAAAGAGTTTGGGAGGCAGAAGGTTACTTCAACAAAAACTAGAAAAATTCAAACGAAACAAGTTTCCTGTGAGGAATTTCATTTTGAAGAAAGGCAATTTTTTGCCAGTCAACTCTACTCATAACTGTAGCAGGGAAAACAATGTTCAGACGACAGGGTGATTTTTAAGTAAATGGAATGTTTTTTAATGTGCTCTAATGCTTTAGGTGTGGTAGTGATGTACTATACACCCAAAGATCCTCTGTCTTTTTTCTTTTCATGAGTCCCAGTTGGTAGGTGCAAGGTAAATGTTGTGGCTGCCTCTTTCTGTACCAGTAGGGTTATTTCATTCTCCCTGTCATCCTGCTCTTCTTTGTGTATCTCCACCTGTTTCCCACCCTATGTTTAGATTGGTAGCTCATTGAAGCATACCTTGTCATACTACGTGCATGTGCAACACCTACCACAATGGGGTCCTATCCATTGTTGTGGCCTCTCTGTCCTACTGTAATACTAATATTCATTATTATTGATTTGTATTGCAACAGTGCCCAAAGGCTCAGCATTCAGGGCCCCATTGTGCGAGGTGCTGTAAAAACACATAATAAAAAGACAGTCCCAAAGCCCCAAAGAATTTACAATTAAGTGAAATTAATAATTCTCAGCTGTTTGTGCAGAGTATCAGCAGTGACATCTAGTGGTCAGAGTAACTCCCATTGCCAGAGCATAGACAGTTTTAATAATAGTGTAATAATACAATTTCTGTAGAGATTGGATCACAAAGTGTTTTTCAAATTATGTAATACTCTCAGGAATCATTTCCCCCACTACTGAAATGCAGCCACCTCTGGGGTGAAACTCAACAGCTGTTTGTCTTAGGCAAATGACTGAAGAAGAATTGCATAGCCTGTTGGAATTGCAGGGAGTGTTTTAGAGAGGCAAACTGAAGTCACCCAGGCTGGAATCTGAACAGGTTCAGACCTCCCAGAATTCAAGAACAGCCAGATGACTGGAAGGTAGCTAATGTAATGCCAGTTTTTTAAAAAGGCTCCAGAGGTGATCCTGGCAATTACAGCCTAGTGAGCCGGACTTCAGTCCTGGGCAAATTGGTAGAAACTATAGTGAAGGACAGAATTAACAGACACATAGATCAACACGATTTGTTGGGGAAGAGTGAACATGGCTTTTGTCAAGGGAATTCTTCAAGGGAGTCAACAAGCGGGTGGATGAAGCTGATCCAGTGGATATAGTGTAGCTGGGTATTCAGAAAGTCTTTGACAAGGTCCCTCAACAAAGGCTCTTAAGGTAACTAAGTAGCTATGGTGAGGTCCTTTCATGTATCAGTAACTGGTTGACAGATAGGAAACAACGAGTAGGAATAAATGGTCAGTTTTCACAGTGGAGAGAGGTAAATAGTGGGGTCCCCCAAGGATCTGTACTGGGACCAGAGCTGTTGAACATATTAATTATTTGAAAAAAGGTGGTGAACAGTGAAGTGGCAAAGTTTGCAGACGATACAAAATTATTCCAGATAGTTAAGTCCAAAGCTGACTGTGAGGAGTTACCGAGGGATCTCTCACAACTGGGTTACTTGGCAACAAAATGGCAGATGAAATTCAACATGGATAAGTGCAAGGTAATACACATTGGGAAAAAAATCATCCCAACTATACGTATACACTGATGGGTTCTAAATTAGCTGTTACCACCCAAAAAAGAGATCTTGGAGTCACCGTGGATAGTTATATGAAAGCTTCCACTCAATATACATCAGTGGTCAAAAAGGCTAACAGTATGTTAGGAACTATTAGGAAAAGGATAGAAAATAAGACAGAAAATATCATAGTGCCTCTTTATAAATCCATGGTGTACCTTGGATACTGTGTGCAGTTCTGGTCACCCCATCTCAAAAAGGATGTAGTGGAACTGGTTCAGAGAAGGGCAACAAAGATGATCAATGGTATGGAACAGCTTCCATACAAGGAAACACTAGAAAAGATTAGGGCTGTTCCACTTAGAAAAGAGACAACGGGGAGGGGGTGGAAATGTGATAGGACATGAATGGTGTGGAAAAAGTGAATAGAGAAGTGTTATTTACTAGGGCTGTCAAGCGATTAAAAAAATTAATCGCGCGATTAATGGTGCTGTTAAACAATAATAGAATAACATTTATTTTAAATATTTTTGGATGTTTACTACATTTTGAAAGATATTAAATTCAACTTTCAGATAAAGAGATTGCACTTCAGTACTTGTATGAGGTGAATTGAAAAATACTATTTCTTTTGTTTCTCATTTTTACAGTGCATATATTTGTAATAAAAATAATAATATAAAGTGAGCACTGTGCACTTTGTATTCTGTGTTGTAATTGAAATCAATATTGAAAATGTAGAAAAACATCCAAAAATATTTAATACATTTCAATTGGTATTCTATTGTTATAAGTGCGATTAATCACGATTAATTTTGTTGAGTTAATCGGGTGAGCTAACTGCGATTAATTGACAGCCCTATTATTTACCCTTCACACAAAACAAAAACCAGGGGTCATCCAATGAAATTAATAGGCAGCAGGTTTAATACAATGAGAGGAAGTATTTTTTCACACAACTAAACTGTGGAACTCATTGCCGTAGGATGTTATGGTGGCCAAAACTGTGACTGGGTTCAAAAAAGAAATAGATCCATCAATGACTATTAGCCAAGATTGTCAGGAATGCAACCCCATAATTGGTGCGATGCTGAACCTCTGACTACCAGAAGCTGGGAGTGGAAGTTGGGTGGATAACTCCGTAATTGCCCTGTTCTGTAAACTCCCCAGGAAACTCTGGTATGGGCCACTGTCAGAGACAGGATACTGAGCAAGATGGACAGTGGTCTGACCCAATATGGCATCTTTTATGCTCTTAATTACCTGATGTGGACCTTGCTTTTAGTTCTCAGCTGAACCATGGCAGTAGCAGTGGTACAGTGCCCCCTACTGCCAGGCTGGGGCACTGGGTTCAGTTCTGCCCTAGTAGGTGGTGTCCCTCCATCTCCGTCTCAGTCATCAATATTTGTTTCCACACTGATTTTCCCATGAGGTCTCCCATTGGAGTATAGGCAGAGCCTGTCTCTGTTCAGCTTTTATGATCTCACATGACCAAACCTCAGTGAACTACATTTACTGCACCAATCCAGAAAATCCCACCCAGTGATTCCTGCATAGAACCTGGAACTTGTGACTGAGTTAGAGCAGATCTTTAATAAGAGAGCAACTCTGTGTAAAGACTTCAGATGAATTCTCTTCTCTCTGCCCTCCCAGCTCTGCCAGCACCGCTCAGTCGTGACCTACAGCATGCCTGCCTGCTTGCATGCTGACCTCTGAAAAAAGCCCTTGCCAGTACATTGCCTTTTACTCAGCTGTAGGGGAAACTTCAGCAATATCTAGAACCAGAGCTGGTACATTGCAAACCTTGTTCGTGAAAAATATGAAAAGAAATGACAGTTTGATGTCCTTTGAAGGAAATGGAAAAGTGAAAGTCCTCCCCCTCTTTTCCAGTGGGGGGAAATGTTAAGAGTAAGTGTTGATTTCCCCTCCAAAAGTGAATGAAATCTTCTCCCACCCCACAGAAAATCAGTATTTCCATTTTGAGTCCCCTCCCCCCATCAAAAAATGAAAAATGACACCAAAATAAAAACTTTTATTTTGGGCAAAATGGCATTTTGCCATTAAAAACCAGCTTTGAACAAAAGTTTTCAGCCAGCTGTAGTTTGAATTTTCAGAATTGACGACACCCTGTTCCCATGTCTCCCTCCAGGGGGCTCCGAGTGCAGACTCTGCCCCAGGGACTGGCTGCTGCACGGGGACAAGTGCTACTGGCTGTCTAAAGAGAGTAAAGACTGGACTGGGAGCCGTGACGACTGCTTGTGGAAGAGCTCTCACATGCTCGTGATCCAGAACCGGGAGGAGATGGTAACATAAAATACAGGCTCATCAAACTCCAGCTGGAGAGAGACGTGTGTCACTAGTTACAATCCCAGTGCAGCAGGGTTTATCCAGCCTGACTCTACCCCTTCTTCCCCATTTCTCCTTTTCCCCCCTTCTTGGGCATCTGGCTGATTAACATACAATTCAGAACAAGAACCCCAGAGCTTTTCTACTCCAGAGTTCCCAGCTGGCTCCTGCAGGCTTTGCACCACCTAAGCCATGTCTGAGAGCTCAGCAGAGCCCTTCTGCATAGACAACGAGGAGTCCTTGTGGCACCTTAGAGACTAACAAATTTATTTGGGCATAAGCTTTCGTGGACTAGAACCCACTTCATCAGATGCATGGAGTGGAAAATACAAGAGTAGGTATAAATGCATGAAAAGATGTGAATTGCCTTACCAAGTGTGAGGTTAGTTTAACGAGACAATTCAATTGACAGCAGGATACCAAGGGAGGAAAAAAAACTTTTGAAGTGGTAATGAGAGTGGCCCATTTCAGACAGTTGACTCCCAGTCTGTATGGGAGTTGGAACTGCAGAACTGGAATTAATTTGCAAACTGGACACCATCAGATTAGGCCTGAATAAAGACTGGGAGTGGTTGGGTCATTATAAAACCTAAACCTAATTTCCCCAATACTAATTTTCCCCTACTGTTACTCACACCTTCTTGTCAACTGTCTGAAATCGGCCGCTCTCATTACCACTTTAAAAGTGATTTTTTCTCCCTTGGTATCCTGCTGGTAATTGAATGGTCTCCTTAGACTAACCTCACACTTGGTAAGACAATTCACATCTTTTCATGTATTTATACCTGCTCCTGTATTTTCCACTCCATGCATCTGATGAAGTGGGTTCTAGCCCACGAAAGCTTATGCCCAAATAAATGTGTTAGTCTCTAAGGTGCCATAAGGACTCCTCGTTGTTTTTGCTGATACAGACTAACACGGCTACCACTCTGAATTCTGCATAGAGCTACTCACAGAACCCCCCCTACTCCATCAAATCTCTCCCTGCCTTGACTGACCTTGGGCTGCCCTTGTAGCCTTACCAGGCCTGGCTCCTGGTCATCTGCTTCCATCACCTGAACCTCTCAGACCAGGGATACCTAGTCACAGGTGAGGCTGAACCCAGGACTCCCTTAAAGGGCCAGCTCACCCTGTGCCACCAAGGACTGGTACTGGTGTTACCATGCCTGCGCAAAGAGAGCCACATTTCCCAGCAGCTGCACTGGGACTCTGCCCGCCCAGGGGAGAGAGTGAATTAGCTCAGGGGCTGGTGGGGTCTCCTGCTGCGTTATGGGCAGAGCCACTGAAGCCAAGAGCAGGCATTTGACGGGAGCACTAAGGGAATTTGAGCATGTTACAGCATATTCACCCCACCCCCTCTGCTTTGCCCTTCACAGGCTTCCATACAGAATGTTACACAAGGTGCAAATAGTGTCTGGATTGGACTTAAAGTGACACCCCCAGGGGGGAAATGGACCTGGGTGGACGGTTCCCCATTAGATCCAATGCTGTAAGTGCTGCCTGATGTTTACTGTTTGATAGATGTTTGGGAAAAGCACCATTGTATAAATTGCTGATGTTAAATGTCCAACGTCTGTCTAAGGCCTGATCTACACTTAAAAGTGTTACCAGCGTAGCTATGTTGGTTAAGAGTATTTTGGCTGTGCCAGCAAAGGCCCTAGAATAGCTGCAGTTCTACCAATATACCTGTGCTTACAGAAGTGTAGCTTATGCCGATCGGGGGAACTGGCATAAGCTGCAGTGGTAGAAACACTGAGGTCTAGTCTACACTAGGGAGGGGGGATCGAGCTAAGTTACGCAACTTCAGCTACGTAAATAACGTAGCTGAAGTCGACGCCCTTAGATCTACTCACCGCGGTGTCTTCACTGAGGTGAGTCAACTGCTGACGCTCCCCCGTCGACTCGGCTTGCGCCTCTCGCTCCGGTGGCGTACCGGAGTCGCCGGGAGAGTGCTTGGCGGTCGATTTATCGCTTCTATACTAGACCTGATAAATCAACCACTGCTGGATCGATCACTGCCCGTCGATCCAGCGGGTAATGTAGACAAGCCCTTAGATATGGATATAGCTGTGTCCACACTACAGGGTTTCCAATATAACTGCACCAGAAACACCTCCTAGTGTAGACAAGGCTAAGGTGCTGATCTGGCTCTGCTGTGTTCCCCTGGGCTCTGCTCCTCTCTCTGATCTTTCTGCTCCCAGTGTTAGATGCGGGGGAGGGGGAAGAAATTTGACGATTTCTCTCAGGCACCACCCATTTGTGGGGTCACAGTGAGCTGCTGCTCCTAGGAACTTGGGCAGATTCTTATCCCTTGATCCTCCCTCTCCTTCCTTGCATTAGAACAGTGGAATTTATCATCATTGCAGATCTGCGTTAACGTCCCACTGAGGTGTATGGGGCAGCTCCCCTCCCACATTGTCTCTGGGCTTGTCTAGACAAGCAGTTGGTTGGCAGCAGGCTGGGCTCTGAACCTACCTCAGTCACACAAGGTGGCCATAGACTGACTGCCCTGTGGACCCTGCTGTTGTGCACTAAAAATTTCCTACCGGGTTTTCAGTGGGCAGTCAGACTGTCCACACGGCCAGTGAGCACAAGCTAGATTTACACCCCAGCCTGCTGTGCCGTAAGGGCTAGGTTCACAAACAGACTTTTATGGGATGGGACGCTGAGTGTATCAGCACCTACGTTTTAGGCACCAAGAAAATCCCTGGGATTCTCAAAGCCCGCGTTAAGTGCCCAGGCTCCCTTGTACAATGCATGGGGAGAGACAAGCACCTCACAGTGCAATTCACAGAAACCAGCACACTAGGTGGGGAACTGCCTGAGCTAGCCAATGGGAGATGCCAATACAAGAGGCCAACCACTGCCTCTCTCAGGGAATTAGGTGCCTAAGTATGTCTACACCAGTGGTTCTCAACCAGGGGTCTGTGTCCACTTTGGGGGATGGGAGCTGGTTTCAAGGGGCTGAGGGCCCCCGTGGCCGAAGCCTGGTGCCTCCGTGGGGCTGAAACCAGGAGCTGAGCCTGGGGGCTGAAGCCTTGAGCCCTGGCGCTCCCCAGGGGGCTGAAGTCGGAGCCGAGAGGCTGAAACCTGGAGTCCTGAGCCTGGAGGGCTGAAGCCTGGAGCCCCCAGCCCCAGCGCCCCTGAACTCCTGCGGGTCTAAAGATTGGAGACCCAGTGCCCCTGCCAGGCTGAAGCCTAGTGCCAAAGGGCTGAAATCCAGAGCCACAAGTCCTGCCCTCCTGCATGGGGCTGAAGCCCGGAGTCGTGGGGGTGAAGCCTGGAGCCACAAGCCCTGGTGTCCCTGTGGGGCGGAAGCCCTGAGTTCCCTGCCCCGTGGGGCTAAAGCCGGGAGCCCTGAGTCCCAAGTCCCATGGGGCAGAAGCCCCGAGCCCTGGTAGCTGAAACCTGGAGCTCCCAGCCCTGGCCCCGATCACTGCTCCAGCAGCTGAAGCCCCAACCCCCAGCCATGGAGTTTTTAGAGCATGTTGGGGTTGGGGTTCAGAAAGTAAAATGTTGAGAATCCCTGGACTACATTACAAGTGCTACACCTGCAGCATTATCTACATTACAGGGCCACAGTGGAGTAGACACTTTCTACAGCAACATTAGGGGCTTTTTCATCGCTGCAGTAAAGCCACCCCCTCGGAAGGCAGTAGCTAGGTCAATGGACTTGATCCAATAGAAGATATTTCCTCGCCCACCTTGTCTCTCTAATATCCTGGCACCAACACGGCTAGACCAACACTGCATGTAACCACTGTCTGTTTGACAGGTTTCCTGCTTCGAATGTACTTGGAACAATTTTTTGTTAGTTTTTGCACCTTCAGCAAGTTGTTTCTCAAACTGTTCCTTGGCCTGCCTTCTTAAACATTTACAATTCACTTGCCAGAGTTCATGCTCCTTCCTATTTTCCTCATTAGGATTCGACTTCCAAATTTTAAAGAATGCCTTTTTGCCTCTAATGCCCTCCATTACTCTGCTGTTTAGCCATGGTGGCATTTTTTTGGTCCTCCAACTGTCTTTTTTTATTTGGGGTACCCATTTAGCCTTGGTCTACACTACAAACTTGTGTCAGTCTAACTAAGTCACTCAGGGATGTGAAAAATCCACCCCCCGAGCGACACAGGTACCGACCTAACCCTGGGTGTAGACAGCAGTACGTTGATGGGAGCGCTTCTCCTGTGGCCATAGCTACTGCTCGTGGGGAGGTGGATTGACTACGCTGATGGGAGAAGCTCTTTGGTCAGTGTAGGTGGTGTCTTCACTGCAGCACTATAAGTGTAGACAAGCCCTTAGTCTGAGCCTCTCTTACGGTGTTTTTAAGTAGCGTCCATGCTGCTAGGAGGCATTTTACACTTGCGACAGCTCTGTTTAATTTCCATCCAACAAGTATCTTCTTGCTTAGGTAGCTCCCCTTTTGAAGTTAAATGTAACTGTCTGGGGCTTTTTTGGTATTATCCACCCTACAGGGATGCTAAATTTAATTACTGACAAGTATCAGGGGGTAGCCGTGTTAGTCTGTATCCACAAAAACAACAAGGAGTCTGGTGGCACCTTAAAGACTAACAGTTTTTTTGAGCATAAGTTTTCATGGGTAAAAACCCCACTTCTTCAGATGCATGGAGTGAAAATTACAGATGCAGACATAAATATACTGACACTTGAAGAGAAGGGAGTTACCTCCCAAGTGGAGAACCAGTGCTGACAGGGCCAATTCGATCAGGGTGGATGTAGTCCACTCCCAATAATTGATGAGGAGGTGTCAATTCCAGGAGAGGCAAAACTGCTTTTGTAATGAGCCAGCCACTCCCAGTCCCCATTCAAGCCCAAATTAATGGTGGTAAATTTGCAAACGAATTTTAATTCTGTTGTTTCTCTTTGAAACTGTTTCTGAAGTTTTTTTGTTCAAGTATAGCTACTTTCACATCTGTTATCGAATGTCCAGGGAGATTGAAGTGTTCTCCTGCTGGCTTTTGTATGTTACCGTTCCTGATGCCTGATTTGTGTCCATTTATTCTTTTATGTAGGGACTGTCTGGTTTGGCCAATGTACATGGCAGAGGGGCATTGCTTCAGAAACAAACTTCAAAGAGAAACAGCAGAACTAAAATTCATTTGCAAATTTAACGCCATTAATTTGGGTTTGAATAGGGACTGGGAGTGGCTGGCTCATTACAAAAGCAGTTTTGCCTCTCCTGGAATTGACACCTCCTCATCAATGATTGGGAGTGGACTACATCCACCCTGATCGAATTGGCCCCGTCAGCACTGGTTCTCCACTTGTGAGGTAACTCCCTTCTCTTCGTGTGTCAGTATATTTTTGTCTGCATCTGTAATTTTCACTCCATGCATCTGAAGAAGTGGGGTTTTACCCACGAAAGCTTATGCTCAAATAAATCTGTTAAATTTAATTACTGTGTCACTGTTACCAGGCAGTTCAGCTCCATTCACCTCTTGGGACAGATCCTGTCCTCCACTGAGGACTAAATCAGGTACTGCCTCTCTCCTTGCGGGTGCCCGAGCCAGCTGCTCCAAGCAGCAGTTCATTGATGGGGGCTAAAAATCATCTCTCTCCATCCCATCCTGAGGTGACATTTAGTCCCTCTGCTCCAATCACTCTTTAAATTATTTATCCTCACTGGAACATACCACTTAGCTCAGTGGTTAGAGGCTGCTCCTCCTTCTCCTCCTAAGAGGTAATAGACCCCTGTTCAAATCCCTGCAGCCCCAAGTGGACTTGAACTGGGTGTCTCTCACTTTTCAGGTTTGTGCCCAAATTCCTGAGCTAAAAGTTACCAGGGAGCGCTTGATCCTCCCTTCCATTTTGTAGGAGTTCACCTGTGGAGCCCAATCTGGTAAGTGGCCTTTGAACATGCAGTACCGGCTCGGGGCTCACAGGCGCGTTAGGTGGAGGAATGTCTGTCTGCTGCTGGCTCATGCATCATGCTGGGGCTTAGGCAGCCAGCAGCCTAGAGGGAGGCAGCAGCGAGCCAGCTGACAGGCAGACACACAGGTGCCTAGGAAACCTTGACTATGAAAATTGAGGCACTGAAAAAGTTTAGGTGCCTCAAGGGTTTGGTTGCAGCTGAGCCAGGGTTTTGGACATGGTTCTGGGATGTAGGTGCCTAAAGTGGCTGTTAGGCTCCAGGAGTGATGTAGCCTTCCCAAAAGTGGGGGGCCCCTCCATGGCCCAACTCCTGCCCCTCCTCTTCCCCCAAGGCCCCACCCCAGTCAAGCTGGAAGCTGGAAGCAGGCCAGGGAGCCCAGGCCCCTCCAACTGCCTGGGGTGGGAGGGGGCCAAGAGCAGCCCCTGGCGGGAGTCCCCACCCCCCAGACTGTCCGTCCAGGGCAGGTGGAGGGTCCGTGGCTCCCCGCAGCTGCCTGCATTGCTCTTACCTCGACCTGGCTCCGTCCAGGGGCGGGGCCTTGGAGCCACAACCCGGTCATGGTAAGAGCTGCGCGGGCAGCTGTGGGGAGTTGTGGATCCTCTACCTGCCCTGGGCGTGGAGTCCGGGGTGGCAGGGATACAGGCCGGGGGCTGCTCTTGGGCCCCTCCACCCCTGGCAGGTGACAGGTCCGTGGCTCTCCACAGCTGCCCAGGCTCAGGGTTTGGAGCTTTGGTGGGATTAGGAGGGGCAGGGGCCATGCTCATGGCGAAAAGTGGGAGGGTCATGGCCCCCTGGTCCCCCCTGTTCTGGCACCCCTGTTAGGCTCTTAAATCCCTTTGTGAACCCAGCCCTAACCGTTCATCTGGACAAGTCCTCAGGCTTCCTGCAGCCATCTGTTACTCAGATCACATGGTGCAGATTTCCACTCTCCCCTGAGACTCAGATTTGGTTTTTAAAGGAAAGCCGAGATGCGGGAGCTCAAGGTGGCTGCTTCCAATGAGAAAGTACCAGATCACTGACCCATGAGATTCAGCCTACTCCATTCCTTGCCAGAGACCCCCTAGCTCCTCTCACCTCCAGGGCTGTCTTTTCGACTTAAGCTCTGCAGGAAAGTTACAGAGATGAAGGACAACACCAGAGCCAAGCTTCCCATTAAGAGTGAGGGGGAAGAAAGACTCACCTCTAGGCCTTTCCTTGTTACAGGGACCACAATGACACTGACTCTCTCTTTAATTTTGCAGCTTCTTAGGCTCTACTGATGGGAACAGCTGCGGGTGTATAAAAGGCACCCAGATTCTGTCTGAGACGTGTTCTGCTGTGTTCAAATGGATCTGTGAGAAAGAAGCTGCTGTGATATAAACAGTCGGGCTGAGGATCTTTATTTGTGTATCTGTAACATGAAATACTGGTGTTTAGGCTCCCGGGGCGGGATTGTGGCTTTAGACAAAGCTCTAAGCCGGGGGCAGAGCAGAACCCCAGGAGGCATTGGGACTCAGGTACACCTCGCAGTCACAGTTCCTCCCCTCGGTCCTTCTTACTGGTTTGGGGTGTTGAGTTGTAATTTATAACTGTCCTAAACCTGGAAGAAATTACTAACCCGTGATGCTTCCCAGGGCAGTGAGGCATTTCGTGACCAGAGGTGAACGTAAGCCAGTACGGGCTGGTACGGCATACCAGTAAGAAAGTGGCCGCTGGTACGGGCCGGTACACAGCCCTGCAGCAGTGCTTTAAGCACCGTATCGGCAGGGCTGCTGATGGGGGGCGGGGCAAAAGGGGCAGCTGCCCCAGGGCCTGGCAATTTAAAAGGGCCTGGGACTCCAGGCAGCGGCCAGAGCCCCAGGCCCTTTATGTCGCCACCAGAGCCCCGGGACTCCTGGCCACCGCTGCCATTACCCTGGGGCTCCGTCAGTGATTTAAAGGGCCCGGGGCTCCAGCCGCTGCCATGGTAGTGGTGGCCGGGAGCCCTGGGCTCTTTAAATCGCTGCCGGGGCCCTGGGCAGCGCAGGGTGGGGAGCACTGAAGGGCTGGCTGGGGGAGTCTGGCCCCAGGACTGCCCCTTCCACCCGAGGCCTCGCCCCTTCCAGGGGCCCAGAGCCACACAAATATACTGACACAGACCCACCTTGCCCAGGAGCCCGGCTGCCCTGCGTACGGGTAAGTCCTTTAAATTATTTTCAACCCTGCTCACGACCATCTGCCCTTTGTATGAGAGAGCCTTGTCTGTGCCACACACACACTTGCTGCTGGGTTTGCAGTCACTGCAGGTTAGCAATAGGCCCATCCTGCCCTCAGACCCTCTGAGCATCCGCCTGGAGCGTCCAGCCCCTGGTCACCTGTATTATTTACAGATTCACGGCTTCCAAAGGAACAGTTCCACCTCAGATCACTGCTCCGCTTAACACACGGCACTTACATATGTTCATTGTGAAATCAAGGATCAGTTTAACAAAGCAGAGATTCAAGTAGAAGTCTTGGAAACAAATGGTTATACATAAAATAAAATCATAACATGCATTCTAGATCCTAGACTTATTTAACAAGATATTCTCCTGTCTAACCATGTCCTGCTCACCTGAAATCCTTGCAGCATTGTACAGCCAGGCAGAGTGTGACCTTTCTTTCATGAGACACCCCGCAGTTTGTTTCTTCCTGTAGATTTCTATTTTTGTGGATTTTGCAATCTCTCAATTTTCACCTGGCTCAGTACTCATAGTATCCAGCATCAGGCACACAATACACAGATGGCCAGACAGGGGGATAACCTTAGTTACCACCTGCCTGAAAGGTCCTGAAACCTTCTGGTGACCTGCATTAACTCCAAGACCTTAAGAACATTGAATTCAGACTGGAACAGGTGCATAGAAGAGCTACTAGGATGATTGGGGTGTGACGGGTTGGACCCCCCTTTTAGGGTGCCACCCGATGTGCTGGGGTCCCACTGAGCCTGCCTGTCCCACCAGCCTGGATTCCCCTTACTCTGTGCTGCTATGACTGGCTCTCAAGCCCCCTTCCAGCACACACACAGGTCAGGACACACCCAGCTGTAGAATCACACAGAGTCTGCAATCAGCTCTCTGTGGGAGGATTCAGATAGGGGACTGCCCAGCACCCGTGTGCACACACTCTCTTGAATGTAAACCCCAAATTATATTGTCTTGCCTTGTATAGAGATCTATATTGCGTAAGCTCATGAAAATCACCCCCTCCATCCATATGGAGGAAGATATGCACAGTTCTTTGCCCCCCCCCCCAGTTACGAATTGCACAAACTGGGTTTTAGAAAACAAAACACGTTTATTAACTACAAAGGATGAATTTTAAGGGATTATAAGGGATAGCAAACAGAACAAAGCAGATTACTGAGCAAAATAAACAAACACGCAACCTAAGCTTAATTCACTAAAGAAACTGGTTACAAATAGTATTTTCTCACCCTAAATATTGTTTTAGGCAGGTTGCAGAGTTTCTGCAGCATAGAGTTCCAGATATTTCTCTTCACAGGCTAGACCCCTGTCTCAGCCTGGGCCCCAGACCTTTCTCCTTAGATCAGTTTTAGGTGTTTACAGCAGCCATCCTGGGCGGGGATTCAATGAAGAACTGGCGACCTGGATTAACTCACTCTCCAGCCTTAAATAGGATTTACATATGGCAGGAATCTTTTGTTTCCCTGCTTGATCTCCCCTTCCCCTCCCCCCCCTTCAGTGGAAAAGTACCAGCAGTGTCCAAGGTGGTATTTTGTACCAGATGACATCACCTGAGGGAACTGGGATTGTTTAGTCTGCAGAAGAGAAGAATGAGGGGGGATTTGATAGCTGCTTTCAATTACCTGAAAGGGGGTTCCAAAGAGGATGGATCTAGACTGTTCTCAGTGGTAGCAGATGGCAGAACAAGGAGTAATGGTCTCAAGTTGCAGTGGGGGAGGTTTAGGTTGGATATGAGGAAAAACTTTTTCACTAGGAGGGTGGTGAAGCACTGGAATGGGTTACGTAGGGAGGTGGTGGAATCTCCTTCCTTTGAGGTTTTTAAGGTCAGGCTTGACAAAGCCCTGGCTGGGATGATTTAGTTGGGGATTGGTCCTGCTTTGAGTAGGGGGTTGGACTAGATGACCTCCTGAGGTCCTTTCCAACCCTGATAGTCTATGATTCTATGATCACATGAACTTGTGGTGTTAAAGCAACCATGAGATAAGGTTTATTTGTAATGTTCAGAGGAAGGAACTCCAGGAAGATGGGAGATCAGCATCTTCAAAGACCCATTGTCTTTCCTAATGGCCCATCCAGGCTGATTGCTTACTGTCTGGTGGGCGTTTCCCATGTGCCACTAGAGTTGTAATTGTTACATAGTCAATATTCCTAACTCTAGATACAGAAATGATACATGCCCACAAATTGGATAATCACATTCAGTAAATCATAACCTTTCCAACGATATCTCTCAAGATGCATCTTGCATAAAATACATCTTAGTTATGCCATACTCATATCATAAGCATAAGTGGGGCGTAATGTCGCATGGGGAATAAAGGGCTTGTTTTATAACAGGAGACTGGAAGAGTTTGGCTGGTTTAGTCTAGCAAAACAAAGGCTGAGAGGGGATCTGATGGCTCTCTATAAATAGGTGGGGGTGGGGGGTTATTAAACACCAGGGAGGGTGCAAAGCTGGTCTAGCTAAAGGATAATGTTGATACAAGAACAAATGGGGCTCAACTGGCCAAGAACAAGTCCAGGCTGGAGATTAGAAGGTTTCTAACCATCAAAGGAGGGATGTTCTGGAACAGCTTCCCGATTGGAGTTGTGGGGGGCAAACAACTTAGTTTTATGAGAGAGCTGGACACATTTATGAGTGTGATTGTATGAGGGGGTTGCCTGTGATGGTGGGTGTGGTCTGGACAAGGTTGGGGTCTCTTCTGGTATATGTCTTATGGTCCTAAATGTCATGCTTCAGGGCTTCAGCTGGTCACTTGCAGGGGTCAGGAAGGGATCCCCCCCACAGTGTATTGTTTTTGGGGGTGCGGGAGAGGTGTTTGCTTTTTGTCTCCATCCTCTGAAGCATCAGCATTGGCCATGGTTGGAGATGGGACACTGGATGGGGTGGGCCAATGCTCTGGAGTGTTACCAAGTTTTCTCTGTCTCAGGGGCTTGGCTGGCTGGTTCTTGCTCACATGCTCAGGGTCTAAGTGATCACCATATATGGGGTCAGGAAGGAATTTCCCCCAGGTCAGATTGGCAGGGACCTTGGGGGTGTTTCATCTTCGTCTGCAGCATGTGGGCAGGTTGCTTGCTGGGAGCAACTGGGTTTATCTCCCTTCTGTTAGAGGCACCTGCTTTCTAGATCCAGAGGTCACTGAGTCAGCCCCAGCAGGCAACCCCCAGTCAGGGCACTAGGAAGCTCATTTTAAAGAGGTTTTTAAGACTTGTGATGAACTAGGCATCCAGGCCCCTTAAGCAGCTCTGAAAATCTCTGCCCAGGGCCTGGCTAGTGGTGCAGAAGGAGACCAAAAACAAAAAACAGGCCGGGTTAAAAAAAGTAAAACCTTTCTTTTTTGAGGGCATAAAATATGGCGTAAAACGTTTCTCTGTGGCCTGTGCAGCACAAGAAATAGCCTCCGGTAGCCCTGCTGGCGCCATGTATGGCTTTGGCTGGCGTGGGGTTGCAATGGCCATGTTACTTATGAAGGTTGAAGCCCCAAGTTATGGAGCTCACTCCAAGTGAGTGCCAAGGAAACCCGCACCCCACCCCACTGTGTATCCTGTATCTGCCACAGAAGGAGTGAAGAGAATCAAGAGAGCTGCCTGGGGTAACCTAGGGCCAGAACTGCAGGGGGCTCTGGGGTGGGACTGAGGAGTATTGACAAAACTGGGCTAGCAGGGAGCTGCAGGTCGGGATGGAGGGGCATGAGATCTTTGTCTACCTGGACACAGCTCATAGCCTGTCATGGTTGTCAATGTCGGTTCCTTGTTCCTGGCTTGAATTTTTGCCTTCATCCCTCTGCCTGCATGAGCAGCACAAACCTCTGTGCACTCGGCCTCTAACCCAGCTGCCGGGCTCTGTGGTTGGATTGTAGATTTGAACCATGCTTTGTGCATTGCTGTGATTATCACATTGCAGCTGCCCATGGGAGATGCGGCCGGGGCTCTCTATGGAGCAGCAGAATACAAAACAGCCAATGCCCTGACGGAGCCACAGCCCCAGGACAATCCTGCCCGTGCGCAGCCAGGGTGCACAGTGGGCGCGATGCGTTGCTTTCTGTTAGCATGTGCTGTATACGAGCAACCCGCCTCCCTCTCCCCAGCCAGTGTACTCAGACGGCTTGGCAGCGATTCTTCCCCTCCCGCTTCCTCCCCATGTGTTGTGATGGGAAACAAGGCAGCTAGTGGCTGGGCATCGCGGTTCCCTGCTCCGGTGGTTGCCGGGCTGCTGCCCCCTTTGATTCTCGGCTCACTCCTGGAGGGCTCTTCCCCCTCCCCTCCAGCTGGGTGCCTGTCAGGCAGATCCCATAGCAGATCAGGTCTCTGAAGCCCTTTGGGTGGGGAGGGGCCAATGGAGTTTAAGGTGGTTTTAATCATCATGGAACCGCCTCTGGCAGGGGGTTGAGCTGCTGGCCATGGGTCCATGTTCTCAGTGGCAGCAGCAACTGCCCAACCCCTGTCTGTGGGCAGCAGGGACTGGATCACCCCCAGGGGCTCTCAGGGCACCGATCCCTGGCTCACAGCTGCTGTCTGGTGCACACAGCGGTGGCCGTGGGGCTGTGCAGGGGCCTTTTGGGCTGGGTGTGTCAGACCCCCTGTGACAGCCCTGGCCCATCTCTGCCTGGTTCGTTCTCCCCCCTTCTGCTGCGTATGGCCAGTGTGAGACCCCAGTGTGTGGGGACAGGGGCACTTGGCAGTGTGGGCCCAGCCAGCGCTCAGCAGGGGGCAGAGCGGGGGTGG